ACAATATCACTGTTTTATTTTCAGGCTAGCTTCTGATCCCACAAACAGAAAGCTTGACTGCCAGTATGTCTAATGGAAATACGTCACAGACATTGTGTGCAAATAAACCAATTTTCTTAAGTGTTTTTATATTGTGCTTCAGAATATATTTAAATTATGAAATATGCTTTAAAAACTGCCCTTCTATTACCGATAGGATAACTTCAAATAGATATAAGCAGTGATTTTGAAAATTAGGAAATTGTAGGTTCTATAATTTTAATCTCCACTGTATATTTATATTTGCAGTTGGTCTTTTAACTGTCTAATTTGGCTTTAGTATTTTCTGGTTGCCTGGAAAGCAAAACATTATTTCTAGCCTGTGGTTTTTGGAGTGGCAAACATGGATACCTTCCCGCAGTGCTGTGTTCGAGTCTACCTTAGTTAAGTACAAATCAAGACCCTATCTTTAAAAAAAACCAAGTTCCAACCAAGACCAAGAATGTTTCTCAATACAGTAAAATCTCAGATTGTGAGCATAATTCATTCCGGAAACGTGCTTGTAATACAAAGTACCCGTATATGAAAGTGAATTTTCCCATTGGAAATAATACATTTACATTTACATCATTTGGCAGATGCCCTTAGCCAGAGCGACTTACATAAGTGCTTTAAGACTCCACAATGAATTTTTCCCGATACTAGCTCAATAAAACCAAGGCTATGAATACCATCGATCTAATACTCTGTTGGAAAAGTGCTTTTTTTCCAAAAAAAGGATGAAGGATGAAAACAAGTCGAGCAGCTGCATTCTGAATCAGTTGGAGGGGACGAATGACGCTCAGTGGTAAACCCGCTAGGAGCGAGTTGCAGTAGTCAAGGCGGGAGATGACGAGGGACTGAACGAGTATCTGGGTAGCCTGTGTGGAAAGAAATGGACGTATCCTTCTGATATTAAACAGGATAAACCGACAAGAGCGGGAAATGTTGGCGATATGAGGGGAAAAGGACAGACGATTGTCCATGGTAACCCCAAGGTTGCGAGCAGAAACCGAAGGACGGATCAGGGAGTTGTCGAGGGAGATCGCAAGGTCCAGGAGGGGGGATGAGTCAGCGGGGATGTACAGCAATTCCGTTTTACTAGGGTTGAGTTTCAGTTGGTGAGTGGTCATCCAAGATGAGATATCAGCTAGACATGCAGATATCTTAGTGGAGACATGAGTGTCTGAAGGAGGGAAGGAGAGGATGAGTTGAGTGTCATCTGTATAGCAGTGGTAAGAGAAGCCATGAGAGGATTTGACCTCACCAAGAGATTTGGTATAGAGGGAGAACAGGAGTGGGCCAAGAACCGAGCCCTGAAGGACGCCAGTGAAGAGACTACGTGGGGTAGATGTGAGTCCTTTCCATGTCACTCTGTATGATCGGCCTTCGAGGTAGGATGCAAGCCATTGCCAAGCCAAACCACCAATGCCAAGACTCGTAAGGATGGATAGGAGAGTCTTGTGGTTAACCGTGTCAAATGCTGCTGATAGGTCAACTAATAGAAACTCAGATGATTCGTTCCACAACTCAAACATATTCATATAAAAATGATTAATACAAAATATAAAGTAAAAATACATAAAACAAATTAACCTGCACTTTACCTTTGAAAAGAATCATGGATGGTGTGAGGGAGATGAGAGAGAGGAGAAGAGGAGGGTTATTTTGTTGGATGAATTTCACTTTAATTAACGTAATCACTGCTATCTGTTGGCTCACTGGAATCTTTTCCTTTTTTTGCGACTTTAACAAGGAACCTATCCAATGACAGCCGCTTTTGCCTCCTTTTCGATTTTGTGGAAATATGGACATTGCATTCAAACAGATTCATCGCTTGCACTGCTACACCCTTATTCGGGTGGTGCTTTTCTAATAAATTTTGACTATACGAGTGAGGCACGCTGACTGAGACCGAGCATGGGAGACGTTTACCCACAATCCCACAGCGAGAGAGAGAGAAGAACCATTGGCTCAGTTGTGATTACGTGACGCTCGGCAGACAAAGTGTATACGTAATACTCGTAATGCAAGACCTCGCTCGTTTATCAAGTTAAAATTTATTAAAAATTTTGTTCGTCTTGAAAAACACTCAAAAACCAAGTTACTCGCAATCCAAGGTTTTAGTGTACCACCAAGAGTTTCTCAATACCAAAATACTTAAGAATCATACTTCTTGTCACAGCAAGAGCAATCATGCTAACATGCCTCTCAAAAATGAACTTGGGACGCAGTGAATCATAAGATTGTTCTAATTTGCCAAGGATGCAACCAAGGCAAGAATGACATCCGGGGATTTTTACCATCCTCTGTACTTCTTATTGATGCTTTGCAATTTTCGTATTCTGCAGTGTGCTTTTTACTGAGTGTCTTGCACTGAAGCTCCTTTTGGTTAATGTACACAAACTGGATAATTTCTGACTTAGAAAAACATTGAAGTTATTATAAGAAATCAGGACTCTCTAAAGCTGCATAGAGGCTGCAGACATATGCTATGGACTCAGACTCTGGAAGATTGTTGTTCAAGTCCAAGAAAAAAATTCAGTCTGGTGGATGAAAAGACCAAGTCCATGCATACATTCATATGTGTACTTGAGCAAGTACCACACCTCTACATTCCAGTTCCGTTAGGGTAATCTTCTGAAATGCTATGTTTAACATCCCTTCCATCTTCCTTCTGTTTCTGAAGTCTNTTCTGACTTAGAAAAACATTGAAGTTATTATAAGAAATCAGGACTCTCTAAAGCTGCATAGAGGCTGCAGACATATGCTATGGACTCAGACTCTGAACAAACTGAGTTTGAGTCAAGAGTAAAAATTCACCTGAGTGCATCGCAAGACCCAGTCCATTTATATGTGTACTTGAGACTGGACTCAAGTACCACACCTCTACATTCCAGTTCCGTTAGGGTAATCTTCTGAAATGCTATGTTTAACATCCCTTCCATCTTCCTTCTGTTTCTGAAGTCTGTTCCTTGTGGCAAATTCTGTGTACTGGTTTTTGGGTTCTGGTATCAACTGACCTAATTAAACTGTCCAAATGTCCAGATATGGTAGTTTAATTCCTACCTTGGATTGGTTTTGTTAGCAATATTCTTTCTGTGTTTGCCTGGGTGTCTTGGTGTATTACGTAAGCTCTGCAGCGCAAAGACATGGTTTACATGAAACAGTATCTCATAATTGTCCTATGTGTGTGTACACAACTGTCCCGTGATGAGCTGCCATTCCTCCCAGGGTGTAACCTGCCTTGTGATTTTTAGGAGAAGCTGAATGTTCTGAGCTGGATACTTAGCTTATAGGAAATGGATGCATGGACACTTGTTGTTGGACTTTGTTGTTGGAAAGATTGATTTGAATTTTTTGGCTTATATGTGTGTTACCATGGTTAATAAATATTGTACGTTCTCTGATTATATATTCCTTAATTTTGATTATGGTATGCATTGCGTTTGCATATGATCCAGAGACACCATTCAGACAAGCCTCAGGATAAAATTGACCTAATACAAATCTGCATCTGAATGTCATTACTTGTATAATAATATCTAGCCTATTTCCTGATCTTTTGTTACCAAACAAGACCCAAATGACCCAAAGATTCAATGCAAGAATAATATTGGCTTTGCATTTTAAATTAAATAAAATTTTGACAAATGGGCCAACTAAGACAAACCATTCAAATCAAAAGGCATTTAGTAATTATATTGAAATTCTGCATGTTGAGTGATTAGACTGACCAAGAGAGTTATGTTCAAGTGCTTATTTATGTAAAAATAAATAACGTACTATGGATGGCACTGCAGAGCAGTGGTGGTGTAGTTGGTTTGTGTTGGTGTGGTATTCTTGGTAAATCTACTGTGTACAAAACAATAAAATATTCATTTTTCAGTACTTTATGATTAAATATGATATTCTGACATTTGAAATGGTTATTTCACATCTGCTGAAATACAGAGACGGTTAAACTGACATTTTCCGTTTATGTGGTGCATATGGCATTTTGAATGTCATATGTGGACCTCATGTTGTGAATAATGTTGTATTTTGCGTTTAGTGTGATGACCTGCTTACTAGCCTGTTTTCCACTATTACCCTAGACTACAGCCTTCTAGTTCTCTTTCTTTCCCACAGCCATACCAGCAGCTTTATCACGGTGTAGAGTTTGGGTTTCTGCTAAATGTCCTGATGCTTTGGTCTAGACACTGGGCTAATTGGTATGGGCATAGGCAAGCAGAATTAATATTAGTTCAATAGTGTTTATTTAAGGAGAACTGAAAATCCCATATCAGTGCATTAGAGAGCAAGAGGGTTTTTTTCTTTTTTTATAAAAATTGATTGTTCTAAAATATCCAAAATGGGACTAAAGCCAATAAAACTTTATCTTTGCAAGTTGCGAATATTTTTAAAAATGGTATGAAATTAACTTGAAACATTGCATTTACCATGTGTACCTGTAATCATTTTTGGCTAAAACATGGCTGAAGGATATTAGTAATACTGTTATCAATTGGAAGCATTTCCCTAACCCTAACCTTAAATTTACTTTTAAACTGCTTTAAATTCACCTTGTATATAATAGAGGCATCACAAGGAGGAATGTCTGCCCCAGACAAAATCCATGCACTAATATACCACCCTGCTTGACAGACATATGTACAGTCATGTACAACTATATATGAGGGGGAACCTCAAAAAGTCCTTGTTTGTTTCACAATGTGTTTGTCATGGATATGAAAGGCAAGTTTTGAGGTAAATTAGCTGCTAGAGTGATATGGTACTGAAGCATTACTAACAAGCAATTTGAGCTGTGGAAAAATATTATTCCTGACCATATAAAGTGAAAAAGGTATGAAACTTTTGGTTTGAACTGAGTTTAAATTTGGCATTGTTTGGCCTAGACTAGTAGTGGAAAGCAGCAATTATGTATGTGTAGATCATTGCAGGCTTGTGCCATCGTAACCCCTTTGACCGCTGTGTTGCAGCCTCATTTGGCACAGGCTCTATGAGCATGCCGGCTGGTTTTGGGAACACTGCTGCTTTCAACCTTCCAACCAGCTTCAGTGGGACCTTCCAGCAGCCCTTCCCCGGACAAGCACCCTTCCCTCAGCCCCCTGCCTACCCTCAGCAGCCCAATGGTGTGTATATTACCCTCCGTCAGTGTGCCATGGGTACGTAGAAGCCTGCGGATACCCTCTCTCACTATACTAACCTTTTGCCAGGTGCAGGCTTCCCAGCCTTTGGACAGGCCAAACCTGTGGGTGCACCCTTTGGACAGGCAGTGTCAGGACCCGGAGTGTCTAGTAACCCCTTCCTGGTGAGGAGCCTTCACTCATTATGTCCATGTTTATTGATTGCCATTCCTCCTCTATGTTTTTGTTTTATTCTGCTGTGTTTTTCCTGTATTCAGGGTTGATTTCCCATTGATTTTCCTCCTTGTTTTCAGATGATTACGTGGGTAATAGTTAAGTGGATGTGGGACAGCCTGCACCTCTTTCATGCTGCTCACTTGAAGTGGGATGAATGGAGCCTAAGCAGCTGTGTAGAATGCTGAGCAGAGAATTTCAGAACAGAATACAGGACAAGTAATCTTAAATATAGGGGAAAGCCACATAGTCAAAAGTTGCATTTTGGTAGCATGTTCCATAAAACAGCATTTCCTTACCAAAACTGTACTTAAAGGCAGGCAAAGAATATAGGCTCGTTTACTCTGTATGTCAGCCTAATGACTATCACTGATTCTGTATTCTGGGTTAATGGTCTTTTTTCTCTTCAAATTTTGAAGTAATGACAATCTTTTTTTCCAGGCAGGAGCTTCTGCAGGACAGTTCCCCACAGGTGGTTCCTCCACAAATCCTTTCTTATAGCGCACTTTCCTAGATTGGCCACTAGGAGGTGACAAGTCCAACACACACCTCTTGCACTGTTTGGTTTCAGAAGTAGCTTTAAAAAACAAGGTTTCTAAAACTGGTATTTTGTATTGAGTTAACAAAGCTGATGAAATCAATGGAAACTGTCAGTGAAACATGGAAATGATGTGCAGAAGGGTCTTTTCACATCCTGTATTTAACCTGTGAACTGGCCTGACACCCACAGAGCCAACTGTATATTAAACCTGGCTGATACTAAGTTATTGCAAATACCCAGTTCATTATGCTGCAATCCTGTACATATTTTTTCTTAGAAAATTAACTCTTTGTGCATATCAGTATTTGTATCTAACATGTGTATGTAACAGGAAATAGGAAGTGGGCTACAGAGAGTTACTTTATTTGTGAATAACTAAATACAACACAGGCAGTTCGGTATCCATAACTATATATTGCTAAAAAAAGAGAAAGATTGTATTCTGTTGGTAAAAGGAAAAAAAATAAACAATCTCTTTTTGTTCCCCGACCTGAGGGCTTTCACTCCACCTAAAAGGGGGTGGGGCTTACCTGGATATTACATTACATTTGCTTGTCCAGCTCCTCAGGTGGTCGGTGACTATTAGGCTAAGACCACTTATGTCAGGTGTTACATAAATTTAAGTTAATGTGTATATATATTAAAATGGATTTTAACTAAATGAATCATCCTTTAGTATTTGTGTACAATTCATTTTCATGTGTTGAAAGACTTTGAGTTTTTTTTTTTTTATATATATATCCCTGAAGAACCCAGACCACCTTATCATTATAGGAAAATATGTCCATTGGCTAAAATGATCATACAGACCCAGTGAACTCAAAAACGAGTGTTTTGTAAAAATAACCCTTTCCCAGTCCATGTTATGAATGTGCCATATACGACCCCCTGGACTGTTCATGCTGTTCCAACTTGTTAATGTCACCTATGAAATAAGGACAGGAAAGACGGAAAAAACGAATCTTTGCAACATTCTCATTTTCAAAATGCATTTATTGAGTTTTCCTTTTCATCATTCACCATGTGCTGGCAGTAAAACACATACTTCAAACATGTCAACCCATCAAGAAACAGGTCAAGTGAACAGACCTACAAAATGGTGTACTACACACAGAAAGTTTACTTGTGGTGGGTTGTAAGGTCTGGTGCACCACCTGTATTCCCTCTGTTTTTGTCTGAGGCTGATGTTGAGCACATGGAACATGATCATCACAGTTGCCAGAAAAGTTTCAAAACATCCAAAACCTAGTTGTACATGTTCTATAACATCTAAACATTATAACTGAAAATTTCTGCCACTTGCCTATTCACAGCTTGACAGGTGAATCTTTGCAGCATGTACAACAACAACCTCAAGACTCGTTGGGGGCCATATTGTGGAAAAAAATCTGGTTAATTCAGTCAGTAATCACAAAATGTCACTGTTACTGGGTCGTATATGGTACAATGGGCTGTAAAGCAAAAAAAAATTCTTAACTTTGATGAGTGGGTTGAATGTAAGGCAGAAATAAACAGAAGGGTTGTAAATGACCCTGTGGGTTCCCCAGAGTTGTTTTTTATATATATATATATATATATATATATATATATATATATATTACACACACACACACATATATATATATATAAATGTGTGTGTGTGTGTGAGATACTCTTATACTCTTGAACATGACCACCTTGCTTCGTATATGGCAGTGCAGAGGAGAAATGGATTGTGACCTGAGTGATGCCAACAGGAAGATAAACAGCCCCCCAAAATCTGAAATATTTCTAGTTGTATTGTAAAGTGCATTTTTCATTTGCCTTGTAATTAGTTTACTTAATTATAATAAAATTATATCAAATATTGCATCCTCTGGTTTCCACTAGAGGGCAGTGAGCCATTTCTTAAATCAGATTTTATTCTAGTTGCCCACCATTCAGGACTGCAAAGGCTGTGAGTCATGAGGAGGATTGTAATATTCATGCTGCTCGAAAGGAGTGAACATCTCATTTAATTGCAGAGCTTGTTATGTGGCAGGTGTCTCTGTTCGGCTGTGCTTCTTCCTCACAAAGTGGATGTACTGTGTGACTTCTGCTCACCGCTGTGTATATACCTCTCACAAGGAATAAGAGGGCTATGATGGAGAAATAGGTCCCATATACGATGAACTGTAAGACAGTAACATGGATGTCTGGTCACAAGATTACCTCTTTGCTAGTAGTCATGCAGTGTACACTAACCAAAACAAGTACTACAGAGATAAAACACAGTAGTAAAAGCAGGTTGTCAAGGCTCCTGAAATAACTATATTCACCTGTGAAATAATGTTCAAGCCTAGTCCTTTGCTGTCCACAACCACTACAGTAATGATTGTCTGTAGGACCAAAGCACAAAAAGTGTTGGCTCCAAAGATCAGGGCATATCTCTCTACTGACAAGTCTGCAGCAATCTGGAACCTGGTGTAGAATAGAGCAACAGAAAAAATGAAGGCACTTCTGTTGTTTCTGAATTGTTCTTTGCAACTAAGAATTATATCTGACACACAGCCCAGGGTGCTACGAATACCACTTACAATAATACTGCACATTAAACATAGCACAGCACAAGTTTAGAAAGCCTCCGTTTTGGTTTACTCACATAGCAATCGTGATAAGTAGCATATATAAAAACTTGAAGGTGACATAACTAGCATAGCAGACCCAGATATTTCCTGCAAAGGTCATGAGGAAGAGTACACCTGCACCCAGGCCTGAGAATGACCCAAGAGCCAGTTCACCCCATGTGGACCAATTCACATTTATGAAGCTGACTGTGTAGGCTGCAGCAGCACCTGCGTAGAGTATAAGAATTTTGGTTAATGCACAAACATAGTTTTAATCCAGCCATCATCCTGTATATACAGGTGTCTTGAATAAACTGTTAATTGAATGAATTTCTAAGTTGAAAGCTATATAACCTTTGTTTGGTTCAGCTGAATTTTGGGATGATTGACATGTATCTCCTGGCTAATAAAATAGATTTAACATGTTTGTTCTTTTTATTTCTTTGAATCAATTAAGTGATTTTCTTGTAAAGCTTCTTTTAATATGAATTTGTAAAAGTCCTCATCCAATGTGTTTGAATAATTTTTAATCCTGAGGAGAAGTAAATTAAAATTACCTGAGCCTGACCAGTAATTACAGGGTATAACCTGTATCAACATTAAGACCTGCCTATGTAAAATGTGTGCTTTGAGTTTTAAGACATAGTAAATAAACCAACACTTACCAAATAGGTTGGATGCAGCTTCTACTCCACCATTATAGATGGTAAAGTTCTGCGAGGGCTGCACATGCTCCCAAAGCACCTGCACATAGTTGACTGTCTGATTGTAGCCACAGGTGGCTAGTGCCCACCACAAGGACCAGCACAATAGCTGTCTGGAATAGCATTTCAAGAAGTCTCTCCAAAGTTGAAGTAGAACACTTGTATGTCCAGTATTGTCATTAACAGTCACATTATCACAGACCTCTAATCTGTTGTTTCTGTCAAAATTCCCTTTGTGGACCTGTTCTTCTTTGGTGCTATCTTTTCCTGTACTGCTTTTAGAAGATACAACTTGGTCTGAATTCATAATATCCATTGTTTGTACACCATTACTGTTTGTGCTAGCACCACATTGAGTAATCTGCTCATCTTTGCCTTGTTGGCGGTGGAAAAACATGCTTTTCTGAGGCATGGGCAGAAGGAAGGAGGTTGCTAGGGCAATGCTGATGAGGACAAGGTTCAGGACCAGGATTTCATGGTAAGACATAAGATTGAAGCTGACCAGCAGCTGACCCAGTACCGACCCCACAGTATATCCCAGCAGCTGTACACTTCGACAGTAGGCTGTTACCTTCTGATAGTACTGAGGCTCCACCACACTGTATATGTAGGAGAAATAAGCAACATCACATGCTGTCACCATGCCATAAAAAAATTGCATTACCTGCATGGAAGCCACCCCATGTGACCATAGTAACAGGCCTGAGGTTGCCCATAGGCTTACACACTGAAGCATGATGACTGGTTTGTAGCGTAGATAATCAGTTAGCAAAAACACAGGTAGGAGCACAACCAGGTATGAGTAGGTCCACACTGGGAATATCTGATTGTTCACCTAAAGGATAAGACCACAGGCTTTATCTTTCTATGAGATGCATTTAATTAGGCATGTTCATTCAGGTTGTTAAATTTGAAATAATTAGCTATGGCTCAGTAATATTACTAAGTAATATTTTCCTTTAGTAAAAATTGGAATAATGGAAAAAATAAAAATGAGAACATTTTAAAATGTGACAAGTCTTTTTCAAATAAAATTTGTGCCAAGTGTAAGCCTAATTGTATTGCATTCACGTCTCATTTAAGCCTAAATGAGAATGCAAATGGACTAAAATGACACATGATTAAATGCTGCTTTTGGCTGTTCATTTATATAAATGCTGAAAGACTGAAAGCTCTTTAAAAGATCTCTAGGGCATTTCGAAGTCTAATCTGACCTGCTGCAGTACCTGTTCTGTGGTGAAGTTCATGTTCGGCCCCGTCAGGTATGGAATGAGGAATGGCTCGAGCGGTTTCACAGTGCTGAAGAAGCCATAGATGCACAGCAAAGTGGTGTGATACTTCCATTCCTCCTGGAATCTCGTTATAATCTCCATTGTCCTAAGGCTGGCCATTTGGTTCCCCCTCCCGTAGATAAGTGTTTTACCAGTGTAGGTATTTCAGCTCTTTAGCGCAAAGAAAGGATCAAAGCATTCCTTGAGTTAATGTCTCACAGCTGTGTTCCCTTTGCCCTTGCTGACAGCTTTGGTGTGTTTATATACGCAGAATCGGTTCAAAGTGCATCACTTCCTTTCCTTGATTGTGGTGTGCTTAGATATGAATTTGCTTAAAATATAATTGTATTAAAAAGGCATTCTTATTGAAGATATATATATATGTATAATCCCTGACCTTAATCCAACCTACAGCAGGTGCTGGCACCATTTTTGTTTGTCAATTACAATTTTGGTTTTACGTTATAGAAACCCAGATGAGATAAACAATTTCAAGTCACATGGATGGAAATGTATACAATCATATATGCTCACTGGCCACTTTATTAGGTACACCAGTTCAACTACTTCTTGTATCAATTATCTACTCAGCTAATATGTCAGCAGCGCAGTGTATAAAATCCTGAAGATACAGGTCTGGAGCTTCAGTTAATGTTCACATCAAACACCAGAATGAGGATAAATGGTGATTTATGTGACTTTGAATGTGGCATGTTTGTTGGTGCCAGACTGGCTGGTTTGAGTATTTCAGAAACTGCTGATCTCTTGGGAATTTCATTCACAGCCATCTCTAGGGTTTAAACAACATCCAAGATGGCCAGACTGATTTAAGCTAATAGATACAGTGGGGCAAAAAAGTTTATGGCAGCCACCGATTGTGCAAGTTGTCCCACGTAAAAAGATGAGAGGTCTGTAATTTTCATCATAGGTACACTTCAACTGTGAGAGACAGAATCTAAAAAAAATCCAGGAAATCACATTGAATGATTTTTAAAGAATTTATTTGTATAATGCTGCAGAAAATAAGTATTTGGTCAATAACAAAAGTTCACCTCAATACTTTCTAATGTAACCTTGGTTGGCAATGACAGAGGTCAAACGTTTCCTGTA